TTTCAGGAAGTTTGATGTTATTTGGGTGATTGTGGATCGGTTGACCAAGTTTGCGCATTTCATTCCAGTCGGGACTACTTATTCTTTGGAGCAGTTGGCTGAGATCTACATCCGCGAGTTTGTTCGCCTTCACGGCGTGCCGTTGTCCATCATTTCAGATCGGGGCACACAGTTTACATCGCAATTTTGGAGAATAATATATCAAGAGTTGGGCACACGGGTTGAGTTGAGTACAACATTCCACCCTCAGACGGACAAAAAGTCCGAGCGCACTATGCAGATATTGGAGGATATGTTACGCGCTCGTTTCATAGATTTTGGGGGTTCTTGGGATCAGTATCTACCGCTTGCAGAGTTTGCTTACAACAACAGCTACCAATTGAGCATCCAGCTTGCTCCGTGTAAGGCTTTTTATGGGAGATGATGTCGGTCTCCGGTGGGTTGGTTTGAGTCGGGAGAGGCTAGGCTATTAGGTACTGACTTGGTTCAGGATGCTTTGGACAAGGTTAAGTTGATACAAGATCGGCTTTGCACGACACAGTCTAGACAAAAGAGCTACGCCGATCGGAAGGTTCGTGATGTTGCTTACATGGTAAGGGAGAAAGTACTACTCAGAGTTTCACCCATGAAGGGTGTTATGAGGTTCGGGAAGAAGGGCAAGTTGAGCCCTCGGTATATTGGTCCTTTTGAGGTGCTTGAGAGGATTGGAGAGGTGGCTTACAATCTTGCATTTCCGCCTAGTTTGTCGAGTTCACCCAGTGTTTCATGTTTCTATGCTCTGGAAGTATGTCGGCGATCCGTCTCATGCTTTGGATTTCATCACAGTTCTTTTGGATGGTAATTTGACTTATGATGTTGAGCCGGTGGCTATTTTGGATCGGCATGTTCGAAAGTTGAGGTCAAAGAACATAGCTTCAGTGAAGGTTCACTGGAAAGGTCAGCCAGCCGAGGACGCTACTTGTGAGACCGAGCGGGAGATGCGGAGCAGATATCTACGCCTATTTGAGACTCCAGGTATGATTCTAGACCCGTTCGAGGACGAATATTTATTTAAGAGGGGGAGGATGTAACGATCCAGCCAGTCGTTTAAGTGTTATAGCCCCTTTCCCCCATTTACTACTTATTCTATGCTCAATTGTTGTTATGTGACTTGTCGGGGTACTTGGTTTGGTTCCCGGGATGTTTCAGAATGAATTTGGACACTTAGTCACAAGGTTGGAAGCCTAAGTTGAAATAGTTGACCGAATATTGACTTATGTGTAAATGGCTTCGAAATAGAGTTTTGATGGTTCCGATACCTTCGTATGGTGATTTTGGAAATAGGAGTGTGTCTGGATATTGATTTGGAGGTTCATGGGTGATTTTGGTTTGAAATGACGAAAGTTGGAAATTAGAAGTTTGGAGAGTTGAGAAGTTTGACCGAGAGTTGACTTTGTGGTTAACGGTTCGGATTTTGGTTCCGAAAGTTGAAATAGGTCCATTGTGCCATTTATGACTTGTGTGCAAAAATTGAGGTCAATCGGAATTGATTTGGTAGGTTGCGGTATCAATTGTAGAAGTTGGAATTCATTAGTTTTCATTAGGCTTTAAATGGGGTGCGATTCATGTTTTTGATGTTATTTGATGTGATTTGAGGCCTCGAATAAGTTTGTATTATGTTTTGGGACTTGTTGTTATGTTTGGTTGAGGTCCCGGGGACCTCGGGTGGATTTCGGATGGTTAACGGTCGAATTTGGCTTAAGTGTTTTGTTGAGGTGCTTCAGGTCTGGTGTCATTGCACCTGTAGAGAGATTGGCCACAGGTGCGGAGCCGCTGAAGCAACTATGTTTGCGCATCTAGAAGAGGAAGAAGACTATCCTTCTGCAGATGCGGATGCGCATTTGCGTATGATCGACTGTAGAAGCGGACCTGGGCAGGAGGCTTTGGAGTTGCAGAAGCGAGGGGTGGCTCGCAGATGCGGTTTTGCAGGTGCACGAGGTCGGGTGTTTAGTGGGCTTCGCAGAAGCGTGGTTTTCTCCGCAAAAACGGGAGTGCAGGTGCGAGCCCAGGCTTCACAGGTGCGGAATGCCTGGGCAGTGTTTAAAATTGAAGGGTTCCGAGATTATTATCATTTTTGGACTTTTCAAGCTCGGTTGGAGGCGATTTTTGAGAGGTATTTCAGGAGAATTCTTGAGGTAAGCCACTTTTGATCATTTTTATTCAATAATATTGATTACCCATTGAATTTCTCACCTAGTTTATGTGTTTTAAGGTGGAATTTTGGGAGTTTTGGGCTAGAGGTTGGAGAGTAAGATTTGGAAATTTGAGTGACGATTTTGGTGTCGGAATTTGGTATTGGTTGGACTCGTTGTTAAATGAGTGTTTGGATTTTGTAACTTTTATCGGATTCCGAGGCGTGGGCCCGGGGTTGACATTTTGACTTTTGATTAAGAACTTAGTATTTCATATGGAATTGATTCTTATAGCTTAAGTTGATTGTATCGAGTTGTTTGTGGCTAGATTCGAGGTGTTTAAAGGCCGATTTGCGAGGAAAGGGCTTATTGGAGTAGAGATTTGCACGGTTTGAGGTAACTAATATTTCTAAACTTGGTTCTAAGGGCATGAATCCCTAAATTACGTGTTATGTGATCGGTGTTGAGGTGACACACATGCTAGGTGACGGGCGTGTGGGCGTACACCGTAGAAATTATGACTCGGTCGATTCCATGGAACTGTGTAGTCATCTTATTTGAATATTATTACTGTACTCTATGTGTTAGAGAATTTAAGCTGTGATTTATGTTAGAAATCATGTTTAGGCTATGTGCTGGTACTATAGGGACCCACAACGGTCGTTCTTTGCTGTTGAGTTATTTGCTTAAGTTGCAGTTATGTACTCAATCGCATTCATCATTGCATATCATATCTTAGTCTCTATTATCATATATTGTCACATCATGTATCATTGATTTGGGCTTCTTGGCATGAGTGTTGTGAGCCTGAGAGACTGGAGAGATTGATGACTGAGTGAGACCGAAGGTCTGTTTGTGAGTGATATTGATGGGATCGGGCTGCACGCCGCAACGAGTACTATTAACTCATGCTAGGATCGAGTTGCACATTGCAATAGGTATTATTGACTCAAGATGGGATCGGTCTGCACGCCGCAACAGGTATTATTGATTCATGATGGGATTGGGCTGCACGCCGCAATAGGTTTTATTAGCGATTGGGCAGGATCTGACGTACCAGCAGTGAGCGCAGGTACCGTAAGAGTGACTGAGTGTGATGAGTGAGAATTGAGAAAGTCATATTGAGTACTCTGAGAGTGTGAGTACGTGAGATTTTCATTGTGTTGCATCACATATGATATATGCATATTGCCATATAGATATAGAGATATCATATTTCTCACATCAGTCATACTTGGGATATTTTATCTGTATTGAGCTTAATTGTTAAGCCTGGAAGCACGTCTACATTTCCTGTACTGGGTACGAACATATTACGAGTTTTCTCTGAGATATTATTGTCCTATTTCCTGTCATTTATGTAATGTTAAACTCTATATTTGGACTGTATTGGTTGAGCTCGTCACTTCTTTCAGCCCAAAGGTTAATTTTGCTACTTATTGGGTACATTGGTCGGTATTACTCATACTACACTCTGCACTTCGTGTGCAGATCCAGGTATTTTCCGGCACGGTGGTTGTTGATTTTGGAGCTTTATCAGTTCGGAGATTATCGAGGTAGCTGGTTTGGCTTCCGCAGACCCTGACTCTCCTCCTTTATCTTTTAGCTTTATTTGTACTGTTCTACCTTCCTAGACAGTGTTTCAGCAGTCAGACCATGTTATTTTATAGATGCTCATATACTCAGTGTCACCCGGATTTTGGAGAATATTGTATTGAGTCGCGGTATTTTCTTATCGATATTTATGAGATTTTTTTTCCTCTTAAACTTATATTATTATGCTTTCCAAATTTAGAGATGTGTCGTTTTATTGTGAATCGGCTTGCCTAGCATTGCTGTAGGCGATATCACGACATGTGACATTTAGGTCGTAACACTAAATAAGTCATAAATATTTATATAACTATAAATCATCTAACTAAGGGTAAAATAAGAATTATAACATCAATTTCTTGCTAAATATAAAAAATGACATTTGGTACAAACTAAAAGGGAAGATATGTCACATAAATTGATACAAGGAATACCTGTTATCCATTTATTATCTTAAAGTGGATAGAATGTTGCAAGCTGAACGCCCAAGCAAGTAAATAGAGTAGAAGTAGCACCTAATTTCGACAGAGTTAGAACTAAGTCAAATGAAAAAGTCAATAGGGAAAAATTATTACTTTCTCCATCTCAGATTATGTTAACCTATGTCTTTTTGGTTCTTTCCAAAAAAAATAATTTTTCTAAAATTTAAAAATAATTTAACTTAAATTTCTAATCTATCCTCAATGAGAAGCTTTTATAGCCACACAAATATTATGCCATATTTAACTACACAAGTTTCACAAAATTTATAGCGGCACAAATATTACAACTTATTTAGGAACACATGTTTTAAAAATCTTCATATTCTCTCTTAAAGTTCATGCCGAGTAGTTGACATTTTCCTCTTTGTTTTTGTTTTGTTTCGAACTTTATAGAAATATTAGTATTTGATTGTTACTTAAATTTTATTGTATCGTGTCGTTAAATTCGTCGTTACGTAACGACGAAAAATGCCACTTTATGTAACCATAGATTTAGTATAGTCGCATTGTTACCTTGGTTTTTTCTCTCATCTTGCCATTCTTTATTATTAAATAATTATATTTTATCCTTTACTCTACTTTTATATATAATATTTCTACTTCGTATTCTATATTTTTAGTAATATTGTAAGTCTATTCTTTATATTGTTAGGATGTGACATCATGAAATGAGGGCAAATAATATAATTTATCCAAATATTTGACATGTATCAACCATTGTCCATCCAAACAAGCTGTTAAAAATAAAAAAAATTCACACAGCGTCGACTTCTTACGGTTATCATCTATTCTCAAATCTCATTCTACGTTCCCACAGAAAATACACACCATTGGAATTGCAATAGGCTTTACTGCCGACGGAAATAGTCAATACATTTGCATTTTCAAGTCAAAGCCTAATGGAGCAAGTGCGTATATAGTTGGGTGTCCCTCTTGTTTTGATTCAGTCAGGTAAAACTCGATTATCCCTCAGATTCCTTGTAACAATTTAGACACAGAAGACTTGATCTTTGATGAATTTCTTCAATTCATTGCACTTTTAGAATTACCGAAGAGTTAGTCTGTATCTTTGTTGTATTAATGTGTCTGTATCATATCAATTGATGAACCATAATACATATCTTGTTGTTTATTTTATGCTAATTGTTCAATGTTGAAAGGGAAATTTTTAACTTCCATGACGGGGTGGGTAGGTAGGTGGGACTTGGTGTTGTAATATTTCCAAAAATTGGACAAATGTCCTTCCATGTGGCAATCTTGCATGGAAAATTCAAGACAAGTGATATACGCTTGTCATGCTCTAAGCTTCTCTTATAGCCAATAAATAGGCCTTCAAAATAACCATCAATCATCAGCATCTTTTCCTTTGCCTTTTCCTTCCTCTTCAGCTTCCTTTTCTTTCCTCCTTAAACTTTTGTAGTCTACTTTCTTTGTTCCCCTCTTTGAAATAGCTGAGTTTGTAATTTAATATTTTGCTGATTCCCGTATCCTCCCAAATAGAGGTGGGCTTGTTTAATCCTGGAGAGACATTTCACACTACTGAAATAGTTTCTTAGGACAGTGGCCAGCACGACTCAAGCCAATTCGTGTATCTGCTTACAAATAATATTATTACAGTGTTTTTATTTTCCGGTGTCATTTCCCTACTATCTAAGAAACTATGGCAAGCAACACTGATGCTGAAAATACTAGTGATACTACCAATAGTGGCGCTACCTCCGCTACCCCAATTTCAGTTGCACTATCATATGCCATGCCATTTCCAGATGTGTCAACTATCGAAATTTTCGCCAATAAAAATTTCAAGCGTTGGCAAAAACGTATTTTCTCACTGCTTGATGTCCATGGTGTTGCACATGCACTGCTGCATACAACCTAGTCCAGACACTGATAATAAAATAATGAAATCATGGCGACATGCTAACAAGCTATGTGCCGTCATACTATATTACAACTATTTCAAATGAATTGTTTGACGTGTATTGTAGTTATAAGGAAGCAAAAGCTATCTGGGAAGGCTTAATTAAAAAATTACTGCTGAAGATGCTACAAAATAAAATTTTGTAGTAGAAATTTTTTATCAATGACATATAAGAGATGATAAAGAGATGAACGTGCAAATCAACGAATATCAAAAATTGCTAGAAGACTTGAAGGCCGAGGGGATGTCATTACCAGATAAGTTTGCTGCTGGAGTGCTGATTGAGAAGCTGCCTGACTCATGGAGTGACTGCAAAAACAACTTAAAGCACAAACAGAAAAATTTCACCATTGAGGAAATTGTGACCCACATTTTAATTGAAGATTCCAACAGAAAAATCCGCCAAAGCTAGGATGACAGCTCTTAAAGTAAATTTAGTGCAAAGCAGCAACAACAACCGCAAAAGGTACGAGAATAAGTCTCAAGGTTACAACCCTAAAAATCCTAACCTTAAAAGAAAAAAAAAGCTCTTGTTTTGTTTTTGAAAAACCAGGCCATCATGCCTCACAGTGCAGGTGCAGAGCAGGAAATAACAAAGGAAAAACTAATACTCCTAAGGCTAACTTAGTTGAAGGAGGTGATATTATTGCTGCTGTCATTTCTCAAGTAAACATTGTAGCACATGCAAAAGAATGGGTGGTAGATTCTGGGGCTACTCGGCACATTTGTGCAAATCGAGAAGCATTTTACTCTTACACTCCTGTAGAGGATGATAGAGAAGAGGTCTACCTTGGAGACTCAAGTACTACCAAAGTCTTGGGTAAGAGTAAAGTTCTCCTGAAACTCACTTCGAAAGAACTTTAGCCCTTGTTGATGTACTGCATGTTCCTACTATGAGGGAAAACTTGATCTCTGTATCCTTGTTGGGAAGAGCTGGAGTGAAAGTGTCATTTGAATCTGATAAGATCATAATGACCAAAAACAATGTGTTTGTAGGAAAGGGCTAATGTAACCGAGGACTCTTTGTACGTAATATTTATGATATTATCAATGGAAATGTATCTACTTCTGCTTATATGGCTGGGTCTATTTCTTTATGGCATGCTAGACTAGGACATGTTAATGTCGCGTATATAAAGAAAATGCAGTCACTAGGATTAATATCTGGTTTAGACTCAAATAATATTGACAAATGTGAAATATGTGCTGAAGCTAAAAGTACTAGAAAGACTTGTTTTTTTGTAAATTGAGAAACTGAATTGTTATCCTTGATTCACACTGATTTAGGCGATTCAAAGCAAACTATGACTAGAGGTGGTAAAAGACATTATGTGACTTTTTTTGATGATTTTTCTAGATATACTAAGTTGTATTTTCTTAGAAATAAAGATGATGCATTTAATGCTTTTATTTCTTATAAAACTAAGGTTGAAAATCAACTTAGTAGAAAAGTCAATAAAACTAGATCTGATAGAGGTGGAGAATATTTATTTTTAAATGATTTTTGTGAAAAAAATAGAATCATTCATGAAGTAACTCCGCCTTATTCACCCTAGTCAAATGGAGTAGCTGAAAGAAAAAATAGAACATTGAAAGAGATGATGAACTCCATGTTAGCCAGTTCTAATGCTCCTGATAATTTGTGAGGTGAAGCTATTTTATCTGCATGTCACTTACAAAATAGAATACCACATAGAAGAACTGGCAAAACTCCATATGGATTGTGGAGGGGTTATAACCTAACTTGAAATATTTAAAAGTGCGGGGGTGCCTTGCTAATGTTCTTTTGACTGAACCTAAAAAGAGAAAAATAGGTTCTAAAGCTGCTGATTCCATGCTTATTGGATATGCTGAACATAGTACTGCATATAGATTTCTTATTTTAAAAAGTGATGTGCTTGATTGCAATACTATAATTGAGACAAAGAATGCCGAGTTCTTTGAATATATTTATCCACTGTCTAATAAAATTTCTTATACACCTGTTAAAATAAATAATGAAATTACCTCTCACGAGGAACTGAGAAGGAGTAAAAGGTGTAGGAAAGAATATTTTTCTTCTGAAAATGATTTTCAGATTTTTCTTGTCGATAATGAACTATCAAATTATTTTGAAGTTATAACTTCTTCAGAAGCTAGTTATTGGGAAGAGGCAATAAAAATTAAAATTGATTCCATTATGAAAATAATACATGGATTTTAACTGATTTACCTCTTGGTGTAAAACCTATTGGTTGTAAATAGATTTTCAAAAAGAAATTTAATCTTGATGGATCTTTAGATAAATATAAAGCTCGGTTAGTAGCAAAAGGATTTTCTCAAAAGTAAATAGATTATTTTGATATATTTGCACCAATGACTAGAAGTTCTTCTATTCGAGTTTTGATTGCCTTAGCTTCAATACGTAAGCTTTTTATCCATCAAATGGATGTCAAAAGAGCTTTTTTAAATGGTGATTTAGAAGAAGAAATTTATATGGTTCAGCCTGAAGGCTGTGTCATTCCTGGACAAGAAAACAAAGTTCATAAATTAAGTAAATCTCTTTATGGCCTTAAACAAGCTCCTAAGCAGTGATATGAAAAATTTGAACAAGCCTTACTGAGAGACGATTTTTCTTCCGTTGTGGTGGATAAATGTGTTTATACTAAAATGGTAGACAATGATTATGTGATAATATGTCTATATGTTGATGATATGCTTATATTTGGTACAAGTTTAGATATTATGCAAAGTACTAAATTATTTTTGCCTGCTAATTTTGATATGAAAGATCTGGGTAAAGTAAATACAATATCGCGAGTTAAAGTTATAAGGAGTGAAGATGGAATAATGTTGTCATAAGAACATTATGTTGAGACACAAGTTTGAATATTTTAATGTCAAATCTGTGAGCACTTCTTTTGATGCTAACTCTCAGTTGAAAAAGAATAATGGTGACCCACTTGCTCAGTCTAAATATGCGCAGATTATTGGGAGTTTGATGCATTTAATGAATTTTACAAGGCCTGATATAGCCTATGCTGTGTGTAGACTGAGTAGATAAACTCATAATCCCAACAGAGAGCATTGATGTGCATTGGATAGACTAATGAAATATTTGAGAGGAACCATGAATTATGGTATCCTATATAGTGGAATTCCTTCTAGTTTAGAATGGTACAGTGATGTAAACTGGATCTCTGATTCGGATGTAACAAAATCCACTAGTGGTTATGTATTCACCTTTGGTGGTGGTGCAATATCATGGAAATCAGCTAAACAGACGATCATTGCTAGATCGACTATGGAATCAGAGTTTGTAGCTCTGGAGTTAGCTGGTTCTGAGGGTGAGTGGCTAAGAAACTTCTTAGCTAATATCCCTTCAATAAAGGACGTATTGCCTCCTCTGTTTATACATTGTGATTGCCAAGCGGCAATAGCTATAGCATAGAATAAATCTTATAATTGTAAAAGTAGACACATGAAATTGAGACATGATGTCATAAAGCAGCTGCTGAGAGATGGAATAATTTCCATTGTTATGTGAAGTCATAAATTAATTTGGCCAATCCTCTGACTAAACCAGCGGGAAGAAAATTAATTCTTCAAACCTTAAAAGAGTGGGGTTAAGGCCGACATGTTGTCAATAGAGATGGTAACCCAACCTATGTGATTGGAGATCCCATGAAGTAGGTTCATATGGGTAATAACAAGTCGATATTGGCACTGAAGCAGTAAAGGAGAATGCTTAACTGCTACTAATTGAGAGGATGAGTTAAAACTCTTAATAAAATTCATAGTTCTTATGGATGGTGTATTTAAAAGCAGTATACACTTGATGAATTCACCTATATGAGAATGGAGTGAGGACGCTCCTATGAGATTTTGGCGTAGTCTCTAGAGCTCTCATGAATAACTAGGCACGCACATGGCCTAGTGGCGCAAAACCACGTTGAACAACAAAATTGTGAGGGTCAAATGTGATTGATAAAATCTCTGACTTACAATAAGAATTAGTGGTTCATAAAAATATTATATTTCACCAATAATTCTGTGAGTTAAGTTTATTGGTCTAAGTTTGGTTCATAATCCAAAAGACACCAAACTTATTGCATTTGACCATACAAATCCAGCAAATCTTATTCCTCTTTGTATGAATTTTTCGAAAATATGTGGGGGAACTGTTGTGTATTTCCAAAAATTGGACAAATGTCCTTCCATGTGGCAATCTTGCATGGAAATTCAAGACAAGTGTTATACGCTTGTCATGCTCTAAGCTTCTCTTATAACCTATAAATAGGCCTTCAAAATAGCCATCAATCATCAGCATCTTTTCCTTTGCCTTTTCGTTCCTCTTCAACTTCCTTTTCTTTCCTCCTTAAACTTTTGTAGTCTACTTTCTTTGTTCCCCTCTTTTAAATAGCTGGGTTTGTAATTTAATATTTTGCTAATTCCTGTATTCTCCCAAATAGAGGTAGGCTTGTTTAATCCTGGAGAGACATTTCACATTGCTGAAATAGTTTCTTAGGACAGTGCCCAGCACGACTCAAGCCAATTAGTGTATATGCTTACAAAATAATATTATTGCAGTGTTGTTATTTTCCGGTGTCATTTCCCTACACTTGGGAGCAGAGGCGGATGCAACGGATAACTTTATAGGTTCGAAGTGCGGGATTCTACCATAACGGATTTGATTTACCGGGTTCTAAATCAATTATTTGTACTATTTAATGAACTTCTTAAGCACAGTCCGAGCCATGCTACTGGGTTTCAGATGAACCCATAAGTTGAACTCTACATCTGCCCTTGGGTGGGAGGCGTGAAGTCAATAGTAATTCAAAATATAAAGAAGTAAATATACGAAGAAGTCAAAGAGATTCAACATTTAATATATATATATATAATAAATTTGACCTAATATATATGTAGGTGATTTTCCGGCGCCCATGCATGAAGTAAGAAGATCTTTTGGTCTGCTTTGGATGTTCAATGCTGGAAACTGTTAAGTTTTTGTTGCTCTAGCACAATGCTTTTTTAACTTTGTATGGAAAATCAAAGTTGTGGGGTAAACCTCTGAAGGCTAGAGTAGATGGACCCACACTGAGTGTTTTAATTGGGATTTGAGTATGGAATCTCCATGTTGTTACTTCTATCCCTCTATCACTCACCGATGCTCTCCTGATAATTGGCTCAATAATTCGTTAACTGTTTATTCGGAGTTGATTAGTACATAAATATCAAAATTGCCTGCTTATTGAACTTATACTTTTTGTTTGTTACTACCCTCTGATAGTAACACGTGAGAATTTTGGAAGGTTCTTTATTTGCGACATCAACTAAATGTGCAATTTAGATTACACAGAATTTTTTGGTTTACAAAATGTTACAGAACTTTAATGCTAGGGGTGTGTATTCTTCATATTGCATGCAATGTTCTTTTAAATAGAGAAGCTTCTTTACTATACTTAACTAAGCTTACAAAATTTCAACTCCCTATGAATGGTGATATAAATGAGCCAAAAGCACGTACTGTCAGGGTGCTTAGTTGACCTCTACAGTAGGCTAGTAGCTGAGGCTGATATAGACCTTTAATTTTCAGCTTTAGCTTACCAATATGATTTCTTGCTTCTACTGCTGCCTCTACAAGTTCGTTTCCAGAATGTAGGAAGCAAGGTCAAGCCTGTAATTTAGCTAAGCTGTTAAAACTTTTGGATCTCATTGAATACTCCTTTATCAATTTTGAGAAGAAAGAATCCTCTCTTTCCAATAGCTTTGCTGGTGTGTCATATTCGGCTATTCTTCCTGTTAACAAAGTGAAGGAATTCCATATAGTTAGAATCAAGAAGTTAGCAGCTTAGAGAGATATTACATGTA